CAAGGGAACCCCCCAACAAGTTGAACACATGGCGCAAAATGTTTCAAGGGAACTCCATATCAAGTGAAGCACGCGTCGCAAAAAGTTTACGTTTGTCGTTCAAGGCAGCCCTCGAACAAGTTGCGCACAGGGTGCGCAGAGTTTACGTTCGTTCAAGGAAGCCCCCTAACAAGTTAAACACATTTAAACACACATGTTCAAGGCAACCCACGGGCAAGGTGAACGCATGGCGCAACATGCGTTCGCTCGTCGTTCAAGGCAACACCCTAATAAGTCACACCTGGCGCAAAATGTTCACGTTCGTCGTGCAAAGGAACCGCCCAACAGTTGGCGTGGGGCTCAGAGTCAAAACTCATGTGGGACTAGCAACTCACAAATTTTTGCCGTCGGCATTCAGTGTCACAGAGTAACGAAATGGGCACAGGATGCTGCAGCGGTCTCCGCGCTCGGCTTGAGTGTGCCAAAAAGACACGAGAAAGAGAAAGAGAAAGAGAAAGAGAATGAGAATGAGAAAGAGAAAGAGAAAGAGAAAGAGAAAGAGAAAGAGAGAGAGAGAGAGAGAGAAAGAGAGAGACAGCGAGACAGAGAGAGAAGAAGAGCGAAGAGAAGAGAAGAGAAGAGAAGAGAAGAGAAGAGAAGAGAAGAGAAGAGAAGGGAAGGGAAGAGAAGAGAAGAGAAGACAAGAGAAGAGAAGCAAAGGGAAGGGAAGGGAAGGGAAGAGAAGAGGGAGAGCCAGCGAAGAGAGCGCGAAGAGAGAGGGAAAGGGCGACAGAGAGAGAGACAGAGAGAGAGAGAGAGAGAGAGAGAGAGAGAGAGAGAGAGAGAGACAGAGCGCGAGGGAGGGAGCGAGGGAGCGAGGGAGGGAGGGAGGGAGCGCGGGAGGGAGGGAGGGAGTTCTAGCACAACACACACACCAAGAAAGGAAGAATTAAACGATCGAATTTCGGCCCCGCCAATCAAACACCCTCTGGCGCCTTCACAATGGAGCAGGTGATCCACCAATAGGCGGAAGGCCGAACCTGACCGGGTGTCGAGTGTCTTAAGGCTTGCGGTATGAAGCCCATCCAGTCGACTGGCCGAGTCCTAAAAGCTAAGTGTTTGCTCCCCAAAAAGTCGAAAGTGCGGCATGGCATCTTTTGCTGTGTGACCTGTTGGAACTGTTGCTTCGGCCCCAACTTGCGGGGCGCGACACCTGGAGGAAGAGGAACTTCCAGCGCTTTCGGAAGCCCGGGTCCTGCAAATGCGCTTGGACTTGTTCATCACTTCACAGGGATCCCGACAAAAATTTGAGTAGCACCGAAAGAACACGCGCCCAAATGGCCTTGGGGCATAAACTATGGCTCCATTTTGGGGTGGATGAACATCCATGGGCCACCTATTTTGATGTTCACCAGGGGTACTTTGGGTTTTGACCCACAGCCAAATGGATCTACAGGCGTCAACTCGTCTCACTCGGCATCTCACAGCCTGGTGCATCCCCCGAGGCCCCATCCATCAACCAAGTCCAGAAAGGGCCTCGAAGGTCTCGGCTGAAGGTTGGTGCCACGAACACACAGCACACTGCAAAGAAGTGTCCCACCAGGGTCATACATATTCTTGAACACGATCCTGAAACCATCAAAAATGTCCATTCGGACCGAAACTGTTTGGGTTGCAAATCCCATGAAAAATATGAACAATCATATCGAGATCCATGTGAAGTACTTGTGTGTGTGTGTGTGTGTCTCCTTTAGACATCACCTAATCCACGCAAACAAACTCGGAAATCAAAAGGCATGAGGCAGGCGAGCCACAAAGAGCGGGGTTTCGGTCGTCATCCCTGTTCAAGGAAAACCCCGGCAAGCGGCGCATGTGCGAATGCCCTGACTTTTTCTCGCCAGTGCGCAACCAGCTTGACTGAAACCCATCGAACCCTGTCCTTGAAATGGGTCGGCGCCATGCAAAGCGCATAGATGGTAGCCACCACACCGCCGATGCAGTACACCATCACGCAGAACACAGTGCCCCCGACCAAGCTGTGCCAAAGATCCGAGCTGGTGATGACCTCTGTGGGAGCTCTCGAAACTTGGTACGTCTGTGGTTTCCCTTCAGACCAAGCCAACAACCGGGAGTCGTCTAAAAAACCGGTGACCACAAAAGGGCTCCGAACGAATGCGCCAAAACACATGAGAGCAATCGGGATCGGAACCCTGTATTACCCTGACAGGTTTCCGTGTGGAGGGTTCGGTACCCTCGAAAACGACACGCCCCCTGAATGACGTCCTATGAAAACTAACCCCCACCTACCTGCTAACTGGTACAGATGCAGCCTGGCCCTTGGCAAATCTCGGATCAAATAACAAGACCCAGCACAGCCAAGCCAGGCTTTCCACTGAGCCTTCTTTTCCAAAGAAAAAGAACACGCATCCCAGGTAGTACAGGTGGTTTTTGAGAAGATGAAAAAAACATGGGTGAACCGAATAGGGGGGATCGACCTTTAAAAACTGCATCACACCTTCACATTCGCTGCTCATTTGCGCTGTAAGCTCGCGACACCAGGGGCCGAAATCATGGACCACAATCCGTTGGGATGCTGGTATGTCTGGAAGAGGGTGAGCGACCTCAGATACCAAGAAAATCTTGTGTGGTTTTGCAAAAACGTCTCCCGGAAGGCTTGTCATAGGGTCGTATAGCCCAGGTGTGGACATGACTCGTGCCAGGGTGACTTGCAGCTGTAGGTTTGTATGTCGTTGTAGGTGTCTCTTCAAATTTCTTGCGGCTTGCTTGCAGCTCCAACTATCATGCTGTCTTGGATTGCGCAAACATTGTCCGGCTTAAATGGACAAGCGTCAGGGACCCCTTTGCACCTTTTGAAAAGAACCCAAGAGGAACGCCACCATAAGGGTCACCCTATGTCGATGCATTCAACATCATCAGGATTGGCTAACCCGATTCCGAGCCCGGGCCCGGGCCCCTCTCTTTGCTTTCTGCAAATAAAAGGCCATCGGTCAAAGCTCCCTATGTCCGGCATCACGGTTGTCTGGAACTGTTGTCTAGAACCCCAGGAACGGGCTTCACCTGTCCTAACTCTACTACGCCCAAGCAAAGAGGTGCTGTTCCTCACGCTCAGAACGCACACACTGGGAAACAGACAGATCTGCGTTCAAGGGCGCAAGTTCACGATGGAGATGACAAACGCATTCAGCAAGCCCCCATAGGTCCCGATGATCACATCCTTGTCCAAGTGGAGCCGCGGAATGCACCGGCTGAGGATGTACCTCAATTTCTTGCCGTCGTCCGGCGCCCAATAGGGGAATTTGGGCGCGGAATGGCAGCGTGGCAGCTCGGCAAGTGCGCCCGATTTTACGCCCTTTGCTCAAAACAAAACAGGTTCGACACCTATTTTGCCGCAATCGGGCAACAAGCTTTTTCCACTTCGAGGGTTGGCGTACCGTCGACTCATCAGAATTGAAATGCTGAGATTGAATCGCGGCAGGGAAGCTGTCAAGATGATGAAGTCTCTCGGAAGGGCAGCACAAAATGTGTGTGTGTCAGTGACCTAGGGACTTTTCGATCGAATTCGAAAGGTGAGCATGAATGATTTGCGGTTTTGACAATCAATTTCAAGTGACCCCAGATGGGTAACGAATGGCCAGTTCCACAACGGTTGCTTCACATATGAGATTTGTCCTTTTCGATCAGGACAATTGCGCGGATGAGCCTTTTGCGCGGATTCAACCAGCGTTCCCACCAGGAGCACATTGGGCCGTTGTGGGATGTGACCGAAAAGACAGTTTGAGGACCAGTTGTTGCTTCAACTGGCTTTTCGGGTTCCCTTTAGACACCAGCAGAAAGGCCAGCCCCAGCTGAACTGAGTGTCTTCTTTCAATACCCAAAAGCGTTGAAGGATCCTCCGAACGTTGAAAGAGGGGCAGGTTCTATGACCTTTTTTGGGGGAGATCCATTCAATCGACTGGTCTGCTTGGGCCCAGCATATGGCTGTTCCCCTCTCCCGGAACAGCCATTTTGCAGCCATCTTCTTTTGCGCTGGTTTTGAAAAGGGGATTTTGCATGGCGCCCCATTTTGCAAGCCCAATTTTATACAGTCTAATACTCCGAAAGAAGGCGAGGCGGCGCAAATCACGCCTGCATCCCCTGCAAGTCTTGTCAATCCCTTGCCCACCCCCAGTCCCCACCAAAATAGACTAAAATGCACCCATATATATATATATGGTACCCCCCCCATGGACCCTGGTTTGGTGCGGTTGACCTGTATTTTCCAGTGTTTTATGCCTCTTTTTGCTTCTTGGACTTGTGTCAAAATTGGGGGGAGGGTCATACATGTATATGATACGCATGCATGCATACAAATGTGATAAACGCAATGACATCAGCACCTGCAATCTGAAAGAGTTTGAATGCATCCAAGAATACAATAACAACTCAGACATTTTTAAATATTATTAAAAAATATGGGATTCAAGATTCAAGATTCAAGAATGTGAGAAAATATTGTCTGGGAATCTTGAATCTTGAATCTTGAATCCCATAATCTGTAAAAGTTTTTAAAAAAATATGGATTCAAGATTCAAGATTCAAGAATCTGAGAAAATATTTTCTGGGAATCTTGAATCTTGAATCCCATAATTTTTAAAAAGTTTTAACAATTCCAGGGTTGTCCCAATACTCTCGGTGTTCAACAAGATTCTCGGAAAAGTTTTCCGTGAAATAGTTCAATCCAGTGGTAACGGATGTTCGAGGTGATAGAACAACTTGAACATTTTAGGGGTTGACCAGGATGGATGATTCTCAGGAAAGTGGTGGTTTGTGGGCTCCTCAATATTGAATCCCCAATCCAGTGGTAAAGCACGTTCAAGTGTTAGAAGAACTTGAATGCTATTTGGGTTTGGCCAGGATTGACAATTCTCAGGAAAGTGTTCTGTGTAATCTTCAATATTGAATCTTCCATCCGATAGTAGCAAATTTTCAAGTGCTTAGCGATCCAGTGGACACACTTTCAA